ATCTGTCTGGGAGGATAGCAGCACTAGCACGACACATCGATAGGTCACCGCGAGTCATTGTACAGGCTAGATATTCATCCGTGCATCTCTAACGAAGCGTGATAAAGTTAAATGCATGGTGCATCTCTCAGGCATTGATCTCCGCCGAGGGTTCTTTCTCTGTATAATTTTATTTACTGCATGTAACTATTGTTCTTCCCACAAACACACTATTGCCGGCATTTGGAAGTGTTTTATAGCTACCATTTTAGTATTTTTATGCCCTTACACTCTATATGATAGCTACCATTCACTGTAGCAATTAAAATTGAAATAATGGTCGATTAGCACTCAAATTTATGGTCAGTGTACTCGTTCGAAAAACGGTTCTATGCATGTTTCTAAGTGCAGAGTAGAGATTTCAATGGATAAAGGATAAAAAAGTGACCAGAAGAGATTTTAATGACCAACCCATAATAAACCTGTGTGCTGCAAGTTATCAACTGGGAACAAAAAGTGTACGAAAATATGTTCCTTTACTTTCTGATTTGCTGTATACTGGTAGATCTAGTAATGACTGCTGCGGAATGCATCGCTGCCAAAATGGGCACCGCCGAGTGAGATTGTCCATTCGATTGGTGCTCCACTTCATCGGATTCGACCCGATGCGACAACGAACAACCACATCGCGTGGACGACCACCTGTGGATCATTACTCGAATCAGTCCGGGCTTGAAGAAGACGAAGACGTCGAAACGTTAGTGGAATAAATCTTTTTATCAACCTTGCATTTGCTCAATAATTGGGGAAGGTATGGCAAACTAGTTCTAAGTGTAAAAATAAACCACTGAAAAGAAAATGAGACCCATAGGTGTATTACCTGCCAATCCCGTAAAATCACTATGACAACCTACAAGTGTCACTCACCGAGAGAGTATTAGTACTGCAACTGGCAGAACATGGCGCAGATATCTTCATAACACTTCTCCGAACTGGCGTTTTTTTAGCATATTCGTTCGTCCATTTTTTTCCCAAAATGACTTATAAGCGAAGAGCTTCACCTCAAAGAAGTTCTTTGAATATGAAATCTTAACCGTTTAATATATACGACATGACGATTTTGTACCATTTGCACACAGACCGATAAAATAAGAAATAGTAGCAAGCGTACCAACGTTAACAGCCTTGGTTTACCGTTAGCAAACTGTTTACTCAAATTCCAAAATACAGTACATCGATAAAACTTAGTTTTCCTCACACTCAGATGTTCTGCAAACTGGAGGAATCACTTTCTTTTTCCCTCCAACGAATGTCGGAAAAGTGGAATAGCATTTGGAAAAATACTCTATTTGTCAAGAGCACCGCTCGTAGTGAACAGTAAAGATGCCAATATTGATTGCTTCAATAAAAATATGTTGTCCAAGTTCTATTCGTAAATATGATGGGTTTTTCAAGCTATAATGGACGGTATGTATATTACAGTGTATATTTTCAGTTCAGTGGGTTTTAGAATTTTTGTACAGCACTGTGTATACCCATTCGATAACTAATGGAAAGCAGAGCAACTTTGGAAAGGTGAGATTAGAAAGGCTCTTCTCTACACTTAATAGTAGCAAGAAACCTTTGATGAATGAGCTCATTGATTGGTAATTTGACTGAAAATTAAGTGTTATTCTACTTTAATCGCTGTTATAAATCATGGTTGTTGCATGGAATGTTCCGAAGTAGCCTCTAAATTAGTCGGAAAACGTTCCCAGATGCTGACAGATATGTGTTTCATTGATGGCCCCTAACAGAATATAGTGAATAACAGCACATATCATTTGAACTCAAAGAACTATAGAGCAAAGTTCCTCCTACAAGTTCTTCATGTTCACAACTCTTTAAGTCATCAATTTACGGAAAAATCATTGTTTATTAAGAAAAAAAGGAAGTCCGCAAAGACTGGAAATGAGCTGTCGTCGTCAGTGGGTTATATCTTAAATAAACCGAGACACTTCAAGTGATTCAAGTTTAGTTTAGTGCTTTAACCATAAAGGAAAATTTTTTTATAAAGTAAGGGCCGATTAATCGTCATTGACAATGGCTATAGTATATATAGTATATAAGCACATGTTGGTTATTACAGTGCCGAGGTTAAATGACGGTCGGTTCCAAAATTGTTGTTTTGCTATTCGCCAGCAGCTAACAAAACACCGACCGCTGCAGGGTGGATTATCAGTTGAAAAACAAGTTATCATCAACTGATAGTCATATCACCAACGACTGCCCTGTAGAAAAGATCGTCGCCAGGTGTGTTCGGCTCATTTGAGATTCTCAATTGAGGAAGATTCGGTTCGATGCGAGATGAAGACACCACATCGAGAAAAGGAACAACTGTGGACCACCGACAACGATCGTCGAGTCTGATGAAGACGAAGACATCGAAACGTTACTCGAATAAACATCTCGCGTAAGCCCAAGTAACATGAACACATGCCACGTTTAGTTTCCAGCCATATCGTACTATCAAGTTTTTCGTTTAAAGCACGATCCTCCAACACATAAATCGATAAAAATGGTCGAAAGTCGTATTCACTTTCTATTTAGATATTAATCCTTATTTTTACCATGTATTTCCACTCGTTCTGTTTGCCTAACTCATCTTCCGTGGTGTTAAGACCTCTTGAGCTCAATGAAAGAAACTGAAAAGTGTAATGACAGAAGTCGTACTCAAGGATAACCACTGACAATCTTTTTCCGAAGAAATAACCATAACATTATATTCCCTTCATAAACCGCATTTCTAAAAAAAACCAATCCATTTGACAGAATAAGATCGAATTTTTATTTTATTTCATACGACCCGTCTTCACATCTACTGTGCCAATCCTGGCACTTCTCACATTCGATTCGTTTCCTCGTATCCGTCATCCATTAAGGTCTCCCAACTTTTAGTTGTGGTTTCGGCTGCTGATTCAAGATTTTCATTTCGCCTTGAATGTCATAGATTGCTGGTCGAGTCGACTTTCTCTGGAGTCTTGAAATTGCCGGGTTAGAGCGTGCTCACTTAAGTTGCAAAGAAAGAGCTTTTCCCAGATATATCCGGTGCGAGAATTTCTCGATGCCGGGTATTCGAGAGGCTTCTCGAGTCCAGCACCGTGCTAGTGATGGCATGCATAACTACCACTGTGTTATCAGTCCAAAAGGTCACACTAATCTTAGAACGTCTAAAAATTCGAACATGAAACATAGCGAACCACAAACACTTGAGAGTGGCTACCAAAAACATCTTTACCATGAACTCTAATGCTGTGCTGTTATTATTATTATTATTATTATTATTATTATTATTATTGTAACTAGTCAAAAACACAGAATAAGCAAAGTGAAGTCCTCAAACACTGCGAATACAAAGCTGGTAAAGTCAAAATAAGGCAGTTCTGGCAAAACAAACAACGTTCGAAAGAAAGTCAGAAAGAAAAGTGGCATAAGTGATAAAAGTCAACAGCCTTGCCAAACTGCGATTTAGATTTGAACCACTGACAAGACGGTACACAGGCAGCACTCATCCAATGTCGACGTCTTTCTGCAACTGAAAACGTTATCAGGTGAAATTGACACGATGTATGGTTTCCGTTGGGATGGGTATGTTTTTCGCAATTACATCATCCTGTTTTTTCTCGAAATTTTGCCTTGTGTGTAAACAAAAATGCTGTGATTGTTGTGAAAACGGCACAAATCGATAATCTGTACTCCTACAGGCCAATTACGGTAATTTACTGCTGTGAATTTAAAAAAAGGGAAAGAATCAAGCAATGTTCGTATCCTAACCGTCGTTTTCACGTTCGTTGTACTTCAGATGTAGATCAGTAAACTCCACAGGTTCGCGACGACGTGACCTCTATAGAAGTCATACGATTCAAAAATAGTGGCTTCTTTCAAATCAACACATCAGTCAATTGTGAACTTTACTTACCTGATATTTAAATGGCCCGTCCTCACTGGTTGTGCGGCCCCCAACCTAATCACCACTTTTCGGAGATTTCGTGGTTAAGCCATTATGGTTCCCTGGAGTCCTGAGGTCAGCCTGGCCAAAGTCTGCCCCAGGTCTTCACCACCACGGGCAGTCGTAACCCTTGCGGATCAGAGGGAGATTTATTACCATGCGACTTTGATACCAGGGCGGTGGTTGGTCCTGGTATTGGTTCACTCTTAGCTAGGCTTCCTGATGGAAACGTCGGACTTCTTCTCAGCTTGGGAGACCCTGCCAGAGGATGGATCCCCCGCTGTACATCACAGTCCGACACTCAGGAACACCTCCCAACCACGATGAGGCGGTAAACCGCTGGGAGGATTGTGAAATATTAATAGTAATTATTGCTATTAAAGTTTCGAAATCTTCCTTGTAGGATAAAAGGTTCTGTTTTGCTATGATGCAATTCAAATTTGGGGACCCCATGACATCTACTTCTTTCGCTTTATTTCTTCAAGGCTCACATTTCGAGCACAAAAGGAAATCCAGCGGATTTCGGCCGGCATGTCACGATGGTGTTCCCTAATGTACTTTATGTTAGCAGATAGCGCTCCTCGGTTGAAAATTTTGAACAATCCGGTTCCATCAACATTTTTAAGTGTTAACTCTAAACATATTTAGATTTGAAAAGGTATATAGGAATTGCGAATACGATCCTGGCCATAAACCAAGGTCTGTTACAAAACAGGTCTGAAACCCTGAAGCACTCTAATGAATGTCGAAAAGTGTCGAAAGCTCCGACGCGAATTTGTTAAAGTGCAAAATTTGTTCATCACCAATCGATATCCAATTCATACGTCACTCTGCACAGATTACTGTAGCTTTCCCACGAGGGTTAGAGAGCTGAGGGGTGTGGCCAGCGTAGACTAATCGATATCTGGACAACAAGCCAATCAGAGCACGAGGGGCGGCAACTATCCCAGGCGACGGGCATGCGATGGTGGGAAAACGAGTGTAGAATGTGAACACAAACATTTCATCCTGCAGCACTTCACTTGCTCCTAAGATGCGTCGAACTAGTGATGGTGGAGCCATTCCAGAATCAAATGGTCTTAACGAGGACTCTGATGCAAAATTTGAAAGAAAAACACAGGAGGATATCGAGTTGGCGTTCAGCAAAAGGTGTGACAGAAAGAATGGAACATACCAAGCGGCACCCGTCTTAGTCGAAATACGTGGTCAGGTTGGTCCTCTTTCAGCGTCAATTGTTTTCTGTCACTTAGCGTCTACACATTTCTAAGATGTTTGCATGTTTCGGCTACTACCTAAGGATTTCTTCTTCCTTCTGAATGTCGTAGAATGTTATTCGAGTCGATTCTCCATGCATTGTTTGGGACGTCCGGGCTAATGTGTTCTCAACTGGACTAGAGGAAAGCGTTAGCGAAGAGGGTCGAACAACAGTCATTACTTCCCGATCGGCTGAATCGCTAACCCTTGCCCTACCCCCACCACCCTCCCCTCCCCTCCCCTCCTCCTCTCCAGTTATAGTTACAAATACACATTCTTGAAACATACTAAAATTGTAACAATTGGGAGATCATTAGCATGGACCCTGTGCAAGAATTCGTGGATCATTCCAAATTCTTGTCATTCATATGGCAAATAAATTGAAAAGAGAGTGTAATATTTCATACTCATGGCTTTGCTCTTTTGAGAGGAACGCGCTCTTATATCACATACGTTGGCGCTCATTGGTTTACCAGCTTGTCGTGGTGCGATGTTTGGCGAGATATTCAAATAGCACTACCCAACCTCAACGGAGTTCAATATTTCCATACGGAAGCCTCAGCTAAGAGTAAATCAACGTTTTCGTTTGCCGCAGTCCTTCAGGGAGCCTGTTTGCATTGCGATGAAAAATCTCCTGAGCATGTCGGCTGTTGCCCGATGAGACAAAATGGGAGCTGAGATGTCAGTAGCCGCATCGTACAACCGCAAATTCCATAAAGCTCTAATAAAAAGCTCTCGGTGTTGATTAATCCCTGAGGGATGCGGATGCATTCGACTTCATTAATTGAATGCATATCTGGCCTTTACTCGCGGTGGTCTACCGATGTATCGAGCCAGTGCTGCTATAATCCCAGACAAGTGTGGTACCAATTTACCGACCCCGGAGGGATGAAAGGCTTGGTGAGCCATGGGCGAGGGATCGAATTCACATGTGTGTCGCAGTGGCGCCTCCAACTACTGCGCCACCAGCGCCACAAATTCCATAACGTACATTTTTGTCGGTGCTGACCAAAGGGTAGGGGAGAAAATCGTTTTAATATCAAAGTACTTGTTTTTAAGCGACAAGGTGTTCATGTGCTGAAACACCATAATATGAAGAAATCCTTGTTATTTCCAGGATGACGAGATTGGTGTTGCACCTCCAACGCCACACAATGAGAAAACAGAATTTCGAACTCTTCGCATAGGAGAATTAGCTGAGGTGATCGGATTTCGAGTGTTGCTTTTGTACATTGTGGTACCCTCTTATCTACTTTTAATAATGTAGCAGAAAAGACTTCCATTGTTGTTTGATGGTGCAAGGGATAATACACAAATGAATTAAAGTGTAGATGAGGCTTCGTATGGGAAATAACGCTGAACACTTGTTTACGAAGGCTTTGAGGTCTTACTAAGTCAGGATTAGTATTTCACATTGAATGGAGTGGTAACTTATGTATGCTTACAATTTTAACAGTAAGCGGCGATTGGGTTTACAATACGGGAATAATCCACTATGCCGATAGAATTGTTACGTGTTAGGAATCGTAACTTTAGATGGTTGCGAATTTTTTCGACGATATAACTTTTTCAACTTTTAGGAATTCACAAGCATCACGTTAACGCCACCTAATACACCGGCTTCTGCGGCATGCGTTGATCAACGTTTTGCTAACACTATCTACCCACTTACGACGAAACAAGAAGAACCTACCATGAAAGCTTCACCATCGTCTATGTTCCCATGGTTGAGTCCCGCCGTGAGACACAGCACGTTGAATGCGTCCACTGACCATCTAACCATGGATTTTACCCAACGAAACTGGCTCAATTCTTCCGCATTCGTCCTACCGAGGAATCCAACGACGTCTTTTCTGACCAGTCCTAAACCTAATTTCAACGTTAATGACAATAAGCCGGCCTCACAACACCAACTTTCTGTTCATACTGCCCCACAGAACACCAGGAACTCTCAGGAATGTCCATCTCGTCCTGTTCGACGTTACGAATACTGGGGTCGCCTCCTGAAAGCGGTTAGTAAAATTGCACAGTGGAGAATTATGTTACTGTAAAGGTCCCGTTCAGAGACGTCGTCGTCCGTTTTGTCGATTTTGCTATGACCGTTATGTGTATATGTGCTTGGACTTATCTCGCTCGATTCCATCACCAAAGGATCGTGGAATCTGGCATGAACATAACATGAAAGAACGCGGGTTTGTTACGTGAGTTACCACTTAGATAACCTAACTTAGGCTGATCTAACGTAGTCGCGACCGTTAATGGTCCCGAACAATCTTTCTATTCTGAATGTTCTTTTTTTTTTTTTTGTAAATAGGGTTATCTAGCATACGTTCACTATATCTTATCATAGGTATTGTGAGATTTGTCGTTGATCATGGTGACCAAATATTATCCCTCTTACAGATACTATTGAAATCTTCAATGATAACCTTGAAGAATGTGTGGTATTCTCTGTAGAACTTCTCCAAGTCCATATAGAACGTTTCGACTTCTTCGTTATAGTTTGATGTCGGCGCGTAAACGGCGAAGATTGTCAAAGCCGGAATTGATCCACGTCTTTTTAACCGTAAACGACCGATTCGGGCTGTAATTTGTTCGAACGAATCGATGTTCATGGAAAAACTCATGTTGACGAGAACGCCGACGCCGTCGACTCTTCTACTGTCGCATGTTCCGAGGAACAGTTCTTCTCCGGTGTCATAGACGGCGTTAAAAGCCCGGCGTCTTCTCGTCTCGGCCAGGGCGATGACGTCGTATCTTATTTTTCTTGCTTGCATGAGCTACCGAGGACTCGGATGCAAGTGTACGTGCAATGTAGGTACAGATCGTCACCATAGTTCTTTGAAATCCAGGCAGCTTCCATTGGCCCTGAGATTTTAGCAGCCTCTCCGTACTCGTCCTACCTAACGCTGCGAAATTGGGGGCTCTTTTGGGGTCAGGGGAATGAGGTCCGTTCTTTTTACTGTGTTTAGCATTTTTTGATACCTACGTATAGCTTGTTGGGCTCTGAACATGGGCTGGGTATACTCACGGGTAGCATGCCAGGCTCTTCCGGAGTGGACATGGAGCTTATTTGTTGGAGCCGACTCCCAACTGCCTCCCATATACTTCCCACTCGATTGCAGGCTTTTGGCCGAATTAACTCGGAAAATACAATCCGCATGAGCAAGAACGCACCCACAGACACATGCATGAATAGGCCTAGCAAATACAGAAAATATGTGCCAAATCAGCGCAGCAGAAACAGCGAGTCCATCCCCTGGACCCACCTGCGTCTCAGGGAAGCAAAGGTCGCTTTTGGTCCGCGATTAACCCCTTATACACCACCTGGGGACGCGCCCACGTAGCCTCGCGACTAACCGGCTCGAAATCCCTCATACGCCAAGATTGTATCAAGAAGACCGTCTAAAGAGGGTCACATTGGGACCCACGGATGAGAATGGAGCGAACAGTGTGAGCGGCTGTCTGAGTTAATCATGGCGACCAAAACAATCCATGGTAACTCGCAATTCCAGAAGCCACACCCTCAGCGCTGGACGTGAGAGCCTCCCAATGGAGAGTACCATAACGAAATAGACCATATCATAGTAAAGAGAAGGTTTAGCCTAACCGATGTCGCTGTTGTTCCAAAATTCTACACGGGACTAGACCACCGCCTTCTTCGTGCAAAACTCCATTTCTCGCAGAAAGGTGAAATAGCTGCTAAATTCGAAAAACGATGTTCCAAAACCACTATAAATTGAGACTTATTCAATTAATTAGTCGCCTGTTCGAAAGATGCCGTTGTCGGTGACATCGGCGAGGAATACGATCGGTTCACATAACATCTTCCCGTTAGCGCCGTCTTCTCTCGAGCTGATACGCCAGCGTCGAATTGCACGAGCTGCAGGCAACCACGAACTAATGTCCGAACTTCCAAAAAATGCAGACGGGCGATAAAAGAAGGCTTTAAAGAAAGAAGAGTAGCAGTAATGGTCAACGCCGCGGAGGCTGGAAAAAGCATTCGCAAGCCGACCAAGGCTTCGCCAATTATAAAACCAAGGCGGTTGCACTCCGATGCCTAGACGGAACAGTTTCAGCATCCAGAAAGGCAATGGAGAGAACCATCCACGAATACTATTCGGATCTCTTCGGTTGACACGTCCACCTTCCGTCATAAAATAAAGGAAGATGAATATACTGTACCACTGGTTCTCCCTTCCGAAATCCGACATGCCATTTCGTCGGTGAGAAATCGAGCAGCACCAGGTCCGGACAGGATAGGACGAGAACACCTGAAGAACCTTCCGCCAGTCCTCGTAACTACAGCAGTCCTTCAGAATCTAAACACTGTAAAGTCTTCTTTATTTGAGCTTATTTACTTCACGTTTCACAAATTGATTGTTCTTCTACAGGCTTTTCTTGGTTACAGGTGTCCTCATCTTTACGCATATAAGTGCACTCACTGTGGAGCCACCAAGCATTCTGCACACACTGACGACTACTGCCCGATTAACCGTGGATGCCAGGGCAGGAATGCTCTAAATCCTGACAATTAGTGTTCTCTTTCTTCTTTCTTCTTTCCTTTTGGAATTCATCGGGTATTATACATTTATCATTATACTTGCGGTGGTTAATGCCTGAAGTATACATTTTCTCGGTGTCAACTTACCTTTCTCAATCATTATAGCCTTAGCAATATCTCATTCTCATTTGTTCCTGGATTTTTATGCTTGGAAGCCATAGTAGGAGTTATTTCCTTACTTGTTTTATTTGTACAGTGATGTCCAGTGTAAACGATTATTTTTGTTGTTTTACTGTTAAACGCACACAACGTTGTTACTACACTCAATTCACAAAAGGTGACGTTTCGGCGATTTCGCCTCATCCACAGCCTGGAAGGGTCAATCGATTGGAATCTAGTCAGCCGAAGACCACCAGAATCTACACAGAATCGCGAAACCCAGATTTCAATCGTGTTGCAAACAAACAGCATTCGTCGAGCGTTTACCGCTTTCTACGAGTATTCTATTGAGTATTTCACGTGGAGATCAACCGCACATTGTTCACTTGGATGGGTAATGCCTCCCTCTCAAGTTAGAATTTCGGGCTGAGATATTATGCGATATCAAGCAGGATACTGAGACATTCATCCGTGCTATTCACTTTTGGATTCTTCGAATTTATCCGAAATGCTTCGAGAGTTTTGTGCTCTGTTTCCGATTCCTATACAAGGATGGTAACTGCTATTTCGAAATTTTTTCCGTCATGTCTGTGTATATGTGCGTCTAGTGGATTATTTAGCTTAACTTCAAGCCTACTGTCCCAGGGTTCTTTCATACAGATGCAGTGTGGTATACTCGTTTCGCCGATATATTCGTCCAAGGTCAGATAAACCGTTCCCGAGCTCATGTTGTCGCCGTTTCTACCATGGGGACATATTATCCAATTTTGTATTGTACATAGAGGGTTGTGCGTTGCTCAGGGGTCGGAGGCGCTGTTCAATACACATAGGATCATCGTCTGCGCACAGAGCCTAACAAGGCTTCCATCCCGCCGGGAATGGTAAATTGGTATCAGGCTTATCTGAGAGAATAGCAGCACTGGCTCGGTACGTTGGTAAGCCACCGCATTCATTCACCTCCAACGATGCTTCATGAAGCCGAATGCATGGTGCATTGCTCGGGGATAGACCAAAGCCGAGAGCTTCATCATATTATACATAGAGGATCAATCAGGTGATTACAAACTAACTAGCGTCTTACAGTGCTTGGTATTTCAGTCACTGCTACGGAATTCTCTATAGACTGGCACTTCTTAGGTAACGCTTTGTAGCCGCAATTGTTTCGTTGGGCATAAAGGCCAGGATAAATGGCACCTTATTCTTACTAATGTCACAGTTTAAGGGCTTGGTTTTTTCTCTATACTTGTCCCGAAAAACTGCAGTTTTGCAGATTACTTTTTATCCTAGACATTATGTCTCTGCTGGGGTTGCTCACTATTGTTTAGGGGAAATGGCAAAACTCATTCCCTAGTCAATGCAAGTTTCTATCCAAGAACTCACCCTATTATAGGCCCACAAATCATCATGTCTTCCACTGATTAGTACGTTAATATGATTAAGCGTTGGTATAAATGTGAATGGTTAAAAATGATAGGAAATCTATTTGCTTCTCATGAACTTCGGAAATATTTCATAGAGGTTTTAGGTCTTCTGGCATTTGTTATTGATCACAAAAATACTTTATCTCCTAAGACTTACGTGATGCTTCAACAAATAGTCTAAGTCCTTCAGGCAGTGCTCATTCTCTTCCTATATGTCCTGCAAACATTTGTTTGTTCTCTCTACGTGATTACGACTAGTGCACACCGTTACGTCTAATGCTGTATTCCTATGAGTCGGTCGTTGTTAACCTCTATTATGATGGGTTCAACTTCAGTTGGTTTAACCATTTCTTTCTTTAGTTGTAGTAATTACTATAGGGTACTGCTCAGTTGTCATCTGCAATAAAACGTTGACGAAGAGATTTCGATCGTCTGTTAACTTCTTCATTAGGACTTCGTGTCATTTTAATGGTTTTAACCCTAATAGATCCGTTGAAGAGACTCTTCATTGTTTTAAAAGGATGTGTCATCTTCGTTTGTAAACTTTTCTTAGTCAATCAAGGTCTGCTTCTTGAAGAGCGACTGGTCCATTCATGCTGTACTTCGTACTTTGCACTGTATTTACTGTCGACAATACGATAACGACAACTACTCATGTCCTTTGCGTAATTGATTGGCCATGAAACTGGTTTTCTTCAGTTTGGCAGCTGTGGTCATCTTTTTCATAGTTCTAGTTGTTTCTTAATATTCACTAATATGCACTTATGTAGTATACATGGATACTTCGATAGACCGTCTTCAATGGTTGTACGGGCTCCAGCATAGCTTCAGTTTCTTCGGAGTTCTGCTGGGTTAGCCACTGTGGTTCCTTGGAGTCTCGAGGTTAGCCTGGCCAAAGTCTTCCCCAGGTCGTCACCACCACACGTAGTCGCCGCCATTGTGGATCAGAGCGAGATTTGCCACCACGCGACTACTTTGATACCAAATCGGTGGTGGATCCTGGTATTGATTTACTCTTAGTTGGGCATCGTGGCGGAAACGCCGGACTCGTTCTCAGCTTGGAACGCCCTGCTGTGGGAATGAATTTCCCCGTTGCACATTGCATCCCAACACCGAGGTACACCTCCCAGCTACGATGAGACGGTAAACCGTTGGGAGGACTATTATAGTATATTGATGGCAAAACAGAAGAGTACCTGGTGTAATGGAGGCGTAAGTGTGCAGTTCTTTTTCAACTTTAACTTTGCTTGCATCTGGTCGTGGAGAACTTCTAGTTAGACCATCTTTCGGAGGTCGTTAGCTAATCTGTTAGTTTGTTTCTGCTTTATATCTAAATAACACTTCAACAATCGTATTGGTATGTTCATCCAAATATGGTCCCTTCAACTGACTGAAAGCCATATCGCTGTAGTACTTTTGTTATCGTATTTACGAAACTAGTATTGATCCGTTTCAATCGTAAACACTTGGTCTCACTGCTCTGATCTTCACTGTCTTCACTTCCCATAACTCCAGAGCATCCATATTGAAAGCTGATTGGCGAACCACGTAGGATTTCAAAGGAGAACATACTGTAGTACACGGCTGTATGTAGTTCATCTACGCTTTGATTCTTACTTTGGCAAGAACTTCCACAGTTACCTTTTGTGATCTACTTGTTTACTCCCTGTCTTCGTCATTTTTTACAAACCGATTAAAATTTATATGTGTGGACATTTGATACGATGTATCAATAGTAGTTGTCTTTAGTTGCGTCAGGTCAAGGTCAGCATGCTGTCGCGGCTTGCACTTGGGACCAAATTTATCGGTGTGTTTTCCAAGTATCTAAGGCAGTTATTGTTAAAATATTAATATTACTTAAAAAGCTAATATTGTAAAATTGTGATCGTTGAAGAAAGTGCGGTTCTGCTGCAATTTCTTTTGTAATTTCGTGTTTTTTTTATTGGAGGTCTGCCACGGATCTCCCTCATATGGGGGATCTCGAGCCGGTTAGTCGCGAGGCTACGTGGCGCGTCCCCATGTGGCGGAGAGGGGGTTAATCGCGGACTAAAAGCGACCTTTGTTTCCCTGAGACGCAAGTGGATCCAGGGGATGGACTCCCTGTTTCTGCTGCTCCACAAAGAGCCTAGAAGAAAGAAATGATGTTCGACGAGTCCCTGGAACGAACAAAACCCACTGGGCTGCTCTCGCCCGCGACAGGGAAAAATGGAAGATTTACTGGCGTTCGATCGAATCACTCGACGATTAAAGGGACTACAGGTGATATAGGTGTTTGGAGGTCTGAATACCAGTGTATTGTTATTCTCTCTAAGTTTTGGTTTCAACTGATTCCTGTCGGCGATGGAAGCAAAATTAACCAGCACACTTCCTTATATTAGCATACCTTTTGTTTACTATCTTCTCATCGTTGATAGATGGTCACCCTGGATGTCGAATTGTTACGCACAACGAGGACCATTCCCAGAGAGGATCTCTCAAGCGAAAAATTGGTTCAACATTGGCATCCGAAGGAAGGTGCTAAAGGAGAGGAGGAACGTTTTAGGGTGCTCGAGAAAACAGTAAGTTTAAGTATTCATACCAGAAATACGGAGTTCTTCGTATAACTTGGCGTGAAACCCAGAGTGGGTATCTATGACGGCTGAAAGTGCCGAGGGGGGTTCCCGTTGTTTTCCGCTCCAGTTACTGAGTGATTACAGAGATTACAGTTGATATGGCTGAAGTTTTGGTTTAAGATAACTACTGAGGAAAATCAGATTTAATCCGTCTTTTCAGCACCCTTCGTTCGACCATTTTCGGCGACAATATCGCTTAACCAAGGTGTGCAATGTGATATGCGGATTTCTTGCTGTTCATTGAATTGCTCACTTCACGTTGTTTCGAGTTGATATCTGTTTTTTCCAGGAATCGTTAAGCTTGAAAATCAGGGTGATGTTGCTGTTATTACCATGAATATCGCAAATATGAAGGTACCAATACTAATCAGGCCAAAGTACATGTCAGTTTCCACGCACACGCTTCTTTAGGAGAACGTTCTGAACGAAGCTCTAGCCGGAGAGCTTCAGGCGGCGTTCGAAAAGGTTTAGTCTACTTACTTGCTTTTGCTTTACTTTATTTCCAACCAGCACAATGTTTTCCGTTTTGTTCAGATAGAACGTGATGACTCTGTAAAAGCTGTTGTATTGATGTCAGGGAAGCCTGGAAGCTTCGTAGCTGGAGCGGATGTGGAGATGTTGAAGAAAGCAAAGAGTCCTGTGGACGGTGCCAATATTTCAATGTCCGTTTTAATGGTTTTCCTTACGTCTCTTTAGTTCATCGAAAGGTGTACTTTTTTCAAGGCAAGCACAAGAACAGTTCAACAAATTAGAACAGTCGAAAAAACCAATTGTAGCAGCTATTATGGGCAGCTGCATGGGTGGCGGTCTCGAATTGGCCATGGCATGTCATTATCGCATTGCTGTTAACGACAAGAAGACTCAACTAGCTTTGCCTGAGGTGAGTAGGATTTCTGGGTTTACCACACATGTGGAGCTAATTTCTGAATAGTTATGTATCTTCATTGCTTCTTCTTGATCTGAAAACTATTTCTACAGGTGAACTGCGTAGCTCCTCCCAACAGTTTACCGCCTCATCGTGGCTAGGAGGTGTTCCGGGGTGTTGAACTACGATGCTGAAAAGGAGTCCAACGTTTTCACGAGAAAATCCAGCTAAGAGTAAACCAATACCAGGATTCGCCACCGTCCTGGTATCAAACTAGGCACATGGTGGAAAATCACCCTCTGATCTACAAGAGCGGCGACTGCCTGTAGTGGTGACGACTTAGAGCAGACTTCGGCTTGACTGACCTCGGAACTCCAGGGAACCACAATGGCTAAACCAGCAAAACACCGAAAAGGTGGAAATTATGCAAGGGTCTGCACAATCATTGAAGAAGGGCTATCCAAGTATCCAAGTAATTTGTAAATTGGGTAGGTGGATTAATGAGTGCACAGTACATTGTGGTAAAATGATCATTTTCGAAACATGAGAACAGTAAAAGATCTAATTATGGAATTATCACTGGAGATTTGATTACATTGGAACCAGTGCTGATTTATGTTTTAAACATTCAATCATTCAGTATTTAACACTACTCTATGTTTTTACAACTGTACCTTTATTCGGGATAAGGAACTGTGCGGAGTCTCGTTCTTAACCATAACTTCGGATTGATTTCTCAGTGGTCATATTCAGGTCATGTTAGGCCTTTTACCTGGAGCTGGTGGGACACAGCGTCTTCCACGTCTCGTCTCAATTCAGAATGCATTGGACATGATGCTTACAGGGAAGAAAGTGAAGGCCGATAAGGTTATTTTGGCTTTGTAGTACCTTAAATAATGTTGAAGTGATGCTATGTAAAAATTGAGATACTACAGGATTCTGAGGTGTTTGTATCAAGGACATGGCGAATAGAACCACTGCTTTCAAAATTCATTTAATTCTTTTTAGGTCAAGTAGTCTAGAATCTTAGCATTTGTATGAGGTAGTGAATGTAATCAAGTTCAGGAAGGTTTTTACCCAATGAATTGCCCTAGCCATATTCTCTAGAACTCGTTATTAAAATTGATATGCCTTTTTTAGTTCCAGTTATCTACTGTGACTGGGATCCTTTGTAATTAATGTTCTGTTTGGCCATCTATTCTAAATTTGAAGAGTTGCTGTTTCGTAGGCGAAGAAAATTGGTCTCGTAGATTCAGTCGTCCAACCACTTGGTGATGGTTTGGAGTCTGCTGTCATAACTACTCATAAGTAAGCTTAAGTAAACACTCACTTCTCGGAAGGTTCGTTCTTTGTTGTGTGAAATTTTAGGTACTTAGGAAAGGTTGCCGTTGACACTGCTCGACAATTGGCAAAAGGGTCGTTGAAGATTAGTAGACAACGTCCACTGATTGAAAACATTATGCAAAAGGTATTTCTTGCTCTGGGAAGGTGCTAGATGCTCATTTTTTTGTTAGTGTGGTACTTGATATTCGGAGCAGGACTCGATTCCTCTAGTTGTAGGTAATGACGAATTCATTCGTGTTGGACAATGTGGTGATGAAAATGGCGAAAGATAAGGTAAGGTTGACAACATTTTTTCTGCTTAAGATGTCGAGGACGCGTGTAGCTCAGTGGTTAGATTAGACGGGCGTGCAATACATATAGGATCTACTCCATGCCCCAGGCTCATCAAGCGTTCAATCCATTCGGGGTCGGAAAATTGGTACCAGACTTTTCTGGGAGGGTAGCAACACCGACTCGATACATCGTTAAGCGACAGCGAGTCATTGTAAAAGCCAGATATCCACTCAATCACCTGCAAGGATGTTTAATAAAGTCGAAAGTATGGGTCATTACTCAGGGGTTTATCATCGTCGAAAGCTTTATCCTTTATCCTTTTTTCAAGATGCCAGGGATATATTATCCTTTTAAGGTCTTAACAGCGTAAATCCAAGAAATGCCATTCAACCACTTCGCTTAGTTATCTTTGCTTGAAGTTCTTCTTTTTTCGAAAACAACAGATATCTGGACTTTCGAAGTGTCTTAGGTAATGAAACAGACAGCAGGGAACTATCCAGCTCCTTTGCGAATTCTAGAAACAGTGCGTACTGGTATCGTAAACGGACCATCTGAAGGATACAAGTACGAGTCACAGGTAATATTTGTTATGAAATCGTAGTCTAAACGCTGTTACTGGGTATTTAAATGACTTCTTTAACTTCAGTGCTTTGGTGAACTTATGCATTCATACCAGTCGAAGGCTCTTATTGGGCTGTTCAACGGCTCTACTGAATGTAAGAAGAATAAATACGGTGAGGGAAAGCCTGTTAAGTAAGTTATTATTACATTTCGATGCTTTTGTTCATAAACATAGATTTTTTCTCAGGAAGAGTGATGCATGAGAGTCACACGATTGATAGTTAACGCCTGTGATTTCAGTGAAGTTGCTGTGGTTGGTGCAGGTCTTATGGGAGCTGGTATTGCCAACGTTACAATAGATAAAGGTCTTAAATGTGTTCTACTAGATATGAATGATAAGGTATCTAGCCTCTTATTTTCGTTTTTTCAGTAAAAAAATTTGGCCTTTTTCTACTGCTAAGTTGATGGTAGTTTATAGTGTTTAAGGAAAATTTGATATTATCGATAAAGTTTGGATATTGCATTTTTTCATTGTCCACTTTTTTTGACACTTTCGTGCTTTTTTTTTTGAAGGGGAGAGGAAACGTAGTCAGTGTTCGTAGTAATGATGCTAAGGTACTTGCAGAACTCCGGACCTGCGGTAGAAATTGAGCTATCTATTATACTTTCCGGAGGCTAACGTGTTCACCACCACACTATGCTTTCGCAGTTCGGAGTTTTGCAAATATGTCAGCGTCATTGTAGTTGAATTTTATATAATACTCTGCTATGAAAAATTGTAGTAGGAAGTAAATAAAAAGTTGAACAAAGTTCAAATGCTTTAGGGTCTTGAGCGTGGAAAAAACCAAATTATTACTCAACTTAATGATCAAGTAAAACGGAAGAAGATTAGTAAGTTGGAGAAGGAGAGGTTAGATCATTTTCATTATCTTCTGTTATCTTTGAAGTTGTGTAATGCGAGTTTTTCATACACAGTTTGAAAAAAACTGTTTAACTCTTTGTAAGCAGCAGCTGTGTTATCTAGGATGGTATCAAACTTGGTTGCTTCTTGTGACTATTCATCGATGAAGAACGCGGACATTGTTATTGAAGCAGTGTTTGAAGATTTAGCACTGAAACACAAAGTAGTGAAACAAATCGAAGGTATCGTAAGTTCGGTAAGCTTGTTCCCGCTTTGTTGTTTTCTCTTTGGATTACATTTCACAAAATTCTACATTTGCGGTCATTTAAGATTAGCGTTTGATGGTGTGGTTGAGTTTGTATGCCTTTAACCATTTTATTTATATGTCAGAGTTCTTCAAGTGCAGAGGTACTACTTGTTTCTTTAGTCATAAGTATTCATTTAGAATACCATTATCGCCTCAAATACGTCAGCTCTACCTATCAAAGAAATTTCAAAGGCGTCTTCTCGTCCGGACAAGGTACGCCCAGTGGAACATTTTTCTCTTTATTTTGGTATTTTCCACGTATTTCACGAAGGTTATGATTGTTTTCTTACGTCCATATTTACTATTTTAACTTGGAATTGCTAACTGTTCTACTTATGGTTTTAAGTCGTTTTCTTTTCAGATTATTGGGATGCATTATTTCTCACCTGTTGAAAAAATGCAGCTTTTGGAAATCATCGTTCATGATGGAACATCGAAAGAGACCTTAGCGACAGCAGCTCAGCTCGGATTGAAGCAAGGAAAACTTGTTGTCGTTGTTAAGGTAGTCATTTAATTCGTTGGTCTGCTGATTTTTCTGAAGGTATTTGCATTTCATAGAAATAGGCTGTTATTTAAGGATTGTCCAGGCTTCTTTGTTGTGCGCTGCTTGGGTCCAATGATGTCCGAAGTTATTCGTTTGTTGCAAGAAGGTGTAACACCACCTGAACTGGATAAACTCACGAAGCAGTTTGGCTTTCCGGTTGGAGCAGCTACACTATCTGATGAGGTGTACTTAAATAAATGGAACATTCGCAGTTGTTTACTCATATGAATGAGATGTGCTCAGGTTGGACTAGACGTTTCCGAACACGTAGCTCATTTTTTGGGTCAAGCGCTGGGTCCACGTGTACGTGGCGGTTCTGCAGATCTGTTGTCTGATATGGTGAAAGCTGGATTCAGAGGCAAAAAATCCGAAAAGGGTTGGTTTTTGAATTTTTTCGCAGTTTGCTGTAGAATTTTAACTGATTCTTGTGTTTTTGATTGACGGCTTGGCTTTGAAATTTCTAGATTGAAGGTGAGAATTTCACGACTACAATATATAATTATTCCTTATTTACATCTGTAGTAATACCTTTCGAATTCTTGTAGCGTGGTTCACAAAGAATAGCATAGCTTGCTCTAAATCTGGAAATTTTTTGAAGAACTCATATCCATCATTTGGTGGGTTAAGATTTTAAGAAGACCAAACTTGTACAATTTGTTTGCATAGTAGCAGCGCTTGTTATTATCGTCCAGCATAAAGTTAAATGAAGTTGTACTTTATTACTGTCGAGACCTTTAACGTTGTAAATAAAAACTTTAGAAAAACTGCATTCAAAGTAAAATTGGAAGCTGTCAAGGTGAAAAAGCCTGAAGACTGGCAATTTCCTCGTTGTTTTCCTTGTTGCCAATGGAATCTGATTTCGTAATTTTGGAAGCTATTACAAGATCCTATCTTCCGTAATGGCAACTGTGCAAGATCTTTGAGGCTGATTTTACTATGGAAGAAAAACAGAATCATTCTGGGAAATGACGCTGCAGTAGCTATCAGTGTTGTTTACCTGATGTTTTTAGACCGTAAACACTACCCCTCTAGGGTGTTTTTGATAGGCAATGTTTTACCTTCACTTCCGTGCTACCTTACGACAAACATTTTTGAGGTCATGTTTTTTTGTTTCACCATGACCACAAATTCTATTATGGTGACTAGCAATCACTACTGTATTCACTTCTGCAACGAATTTGTCACTTGGTCCTGATCCGTCGAGTCAAGTAGCACAAATGCCTTCATCTTTAATTATTTGCTTAAGTCGTTGTAGTTTTCAAAACTGATACACTAACATGTCCAAACTTTTCTTCAAGTTAATCATATTGTGTTTTATAGGAATTTACGTTTACCAAAGTAAGGGTAAAAAGAAGGTGAATGAAGAGGCAACGAAGATTCTTCAAAATTATAGGCTGAAAATGCCGGAAAATTGGTATGTTTTCAGATTTCGAAAAACTGTTGCAGATTTTGTTTATTCTAAAGTTCACTTACTATTTAGATTTTGTTTGAAATTAAGAAAATAGGGAGTAAAAAATGACTATTACTTTGTTCAGTTAAGCAAAGAGTGATTTACAGCTCGTCATTGGAAGACCAACAGTTACGGCTCGTTTCGCGTTTCGTCAACGAGGCTTTGTTGTGTCTTCAAGAAGGAGTCATTGCGAGCCCGGTAAGTAAAAAGCGCTGATATTATGATTGGTAAGTGGAATGTATTGTGTTGAAAATTGCACATCTTTTGGAGACTGTTTTGTTTTTAATACTGTACTAGTTGTATCCAGAATCTCTTCTGGTTACTCATGTAGATAATTTTTAGTCTTTTTAGTGTTGTTATATGGATTTTTCAGGGTGATGGCGACATTGCTTCGGTATTTGGTATCGGTTTTCCTCCATTCTGGGGTGGTCCATTCCGTTTCCTTGATTTATATGGCGCAGAGAAGCTTGTTGCGGCGATGAACAAATTTGCAACGGCTTACACATCAGAACAGGTGTGGCTTTCTAAGCTATGAAGACTGCCTATAAATCAATAACAAAACTGAGTGAAAAACGAAACGAAGGACTCGCATGGTATGGTGATGAACGCGTTAGCCCCGGAAAGGATAACAGCGTGTTTCGTCCCACTGCAGACACCAGTGGTCTGGAGTTTTGCAAATATCTCAGCATCACTATGATGATAAAGACTGCATCCATTGGTAAAAATTTTGAGATTTCGCAGTTTCAGAGATCATCATAGTCTTTTCTTAATCAAAAGATGAGAAAGATATTTAGCTATAAGCTTGAGGAACGCGTAAGGGTGGAGAGACTTCTTCAGTTTGCACATTCTTACGTAGTGGATGGTGTTCCATTTAGTGAACATGTAATTCCTTTTTTTGCAGTTTTTGATTCAGTTGTATTATTATGTCATGTATAAGTAGTTTTGGCGGAAAGCTGGTAAATTATGACTTAACTCCGTCTTAAAATTTGTCGTAAGAGATTAGTCGAGATGTTGAACGAAACGAGGTCTTACTTCCGTCAAATCTTATTCTTTATTGAAAAAAGGAAATAAATTTTCCGGATAACTATGTAGTAATATGCGAATATTGCAGTTCACTCCTTGTCAACTTCTTCTGGATCATGCAAAGAGTGGAAAAAAATTCTATTAGCTATCTTACATGCTTTTTTGTCTCGACAGTTTTTTTGTTGTTATGATGATAACTATTTAGTTTTATTCTGAATACCATATTACTTGTTACTTTCCATGTTTTCTTACAGTATTGCTTGTTGATTTCCATGTTTAATGCTGGATATTTAAAGTAGCTGTAGTTCTATAGGCATGCGATATGCTCAATTGTTATGGATTGATACATGTGATTTGTTTATTAAATTCTAAGAAGCAGTTGAACAAGGTTACATAGGATGGTCGTGTAAACGTGTATTAATGCTTGTTTTGTGTTATGGAATTCTTCACACTGGAGCAATCTCCATCTTTTTTATGGTCTGTGAAAACTACCCCTTATGCAAGTCTAAACAAGGCAGACGTGGATAAACCCCGTTTAGTGCTAAAGCTGCGGTGTGTATTTGCCCCGATTTCTTATTTTGTTACACAATTTGTTCTGAGGTTTTCTGTATTCTTGTGAAGGGACATCAAATTACTTCACCTTCATCGCTAAATACATCATTTTCATCTTCAGATTCACCACTCCATTGACGAAAGCACGAAAGGTGCCACGTTATCCCCGGCATATTCGAATCCTTAACGTTCGCTCAAGAGTGTATCGAAGATGAAGTTCAGTGCGAATTACGATGACATGAAGAGAAGCTGTACAGCTAAATTTTTAACCAGCAAACGTCATTAGAAGCTTGTTAAGATCGTAAGGAAAAATTTATATTGACCTATTGCCCAATTGGTATAGGACTGTGCAAGTTATGTATTCCAGTATTTGCAGTGCATCCCTATATCGTCTAACCACATGTCGTCTGCCGTCCCGTTGATCGTCGAGTGAATGGAGCTGACCTCAGTAGATCTTTCATTTCTGCCTGTTGTGGGTAAGAGTATCCCAGTAAGTTCTGCTCACTCTAGGGATTCATTGAGCATCATGTCTTTCTTCTAGGGTTCTCGTGAAGAACGCATAATGTGGTTTTCCGACTTAGATAGACGTAACTGCACCACATGATGTTCTCGAAGAGTGACAGCGAATAGCTTCGGCGAGATCGCTTTGCCTAACCTCTTTTTTGACGTCGACGTTAACATCGTTATAGAATGGTTGTATCTCGGATATGAAATTATCATATAGCTCACCAAGGACCTTTATATTGTGGGTAGAGATGCCCTGGCTGTCCATGGCTTCCATGACTACATGTATTTGTGCTGACTCAAAATCTTTCCAAAATCGATGAAAGTGAGACATTACGGTCGTTTGTACTCTCGCAATACTTCAGTGAGTCTTATGATCATGTAAATATGATCTATCGTACTTAATCCTTCTTTAGTTTGCTCACATGGGTTCCCTTTATCTAGTGTTTTTTCGATTCGATTGAAATTAACTTGAGTGATGAGTTCATAGGCAACAGACAGTAAGCAGACTGGACAATTGTTGTTGATGTCGTGGAGGTCTTCTTTTGAACCATAACATAGTCCTGCTGATCTTCCATTGAATAGGAGCATTAAATTCTGACAAGGAACTTGCGAACAGGCGAGGCAGTATGTTGATAAGGCATGCCGCAAAGTTCTTCAGGTGTTCGCGTCATATCCTGTCCGGACCAGGTGTTGCTCAACTGTTTATCGATGGGTGTGTCCGATTTCGGAAAGGAAAAGCGCTGGGGTGACATCTTCCTTAATTTAATGTGAGAGAAAGAGGACCTAGCCATTGAAGTGATCCGAGTAGTAACCGTGAATGATTTTCTTCATTGCCTTTCTGGGAGCCGTAACTGTTCCATGTGGGTGTCCGAATGCTACCATCTTAGTCTTGCGATTTGCAAGTTTCGGGGGTCATTGCGAATGTTGTTCACAATCACTGCAGCTTTACCCATGATTGCTAGTCTTCTCTCTTTAAGATCTTCTTTTATAGCCTTTCTGCATTGTTTTGCAAGTTCGAACATGAGTTGGTGGTTACCTGTAGCTCGTGCGATACCATATTGGCGTATCACCTCTAGTGTTTCTGGAGACAGACGTCTCTTGGTGACCTTCGAACTCTCAAGTTTCTTAGCGCTATCGTGAGCATGTTGAATAAGCCGAGCCTTTTCTTCGTCGGTGTTACCAAGAACGACATCTTTCCAAGAGCAGATTGACGAATAAATCTTAGTTTATGGTGATTTCAGGGCTTGATTTTTGAATTTAGCTGCTTTTTCTCCTCTCCACGAAATAGAACACCTTTTACGAAGGAGGCGATGGTATGATGTCGTGTAGAATTTTATGACAGCGGCGACATCGGTAAGGCAAGACCTTCGATTTACTATGGTCTGGTCTATAGTCAGACTTTACGAAGAATCGAAAAAATGTTATGTTTCTTCGATAAGTGATATGGTATATTTCATTACAATACGCTCCATTTGGAAGCTCCCACAGCCAGCTTTGAATGTGGGGCTTCTGGAATTGCAATTTACCATGCAGATCAGGCAGCTACTCACCGTGCTCATTCCATTATAATCCATTTCTCGTAATGTGGCGCTCTTCAGGGACTATTCTGGGGTCAATCCTAGCGTTAAAATCTCCATTGGTGACCTTGGAGAATGAACAATCTTCTCTTCAGAACTTCTCCAAGTCCAAACAACGCTTCGTCTTCGTCATGGCGTGATATCAATGCGTAAACGAGGAAGCTTGTCAGAGTCAGTATTAATCCACGTCTCTTCCACCATAAACGTCCGACTTGGGTTGTCAGTTCTTCGAATGGACCGATGTTTATGGCCAAACTCGTGTTGCTGAGAACGCCGACGCCGCCGAATCCTCTACTGTCGCATGTTTCAAGGAGCAGTTCTTCTTTGGTGCCATTAACGGCGCTGAATGGATGGCGTCTTTTCGTCTCAGCCAGTTCGATGACGTTTTACTTTATCCTTCTTGCCTGCATGATCCTACCCACAATCGGGGATTCAAATGCAAGTGAGCGTGCATTGTGGCTATAAACCGTCAACTTATTCCTCCGAGATTTAGGCAGCCTAGAGTGTCCCTGCGGTTTTAGCAGCCTTTTCTTTCTTCGTTGTATCCTGCGCTGCCGTATCGGGAGCTCTTTCAGGGTCAGAGAGATGAGTCCCACGTATTTTAACTGCGTTTAGCATTTATTACTCACTTATAGCTAGCTGAACTCTGAAAATGGGGCTAGATAAACTTCCTCATTGGAAGTCACGAAAAAGCGGCTCTGAAGAAGGCGGTACTGCCGAAGCGTCAGCTAGCGTTGTATTGTATTGTGTTTCTCTATGGAAGTAAATGTATGCTGTTTAAAAACCTCGCGATTGCTGAACAAGAAAACGACACATTCATATTCCAATGCCGAGGTTAATAGAAAGGCGATCCTGGGAGCTAGATATACTCACGAGTGGCTTGTCAGTCTCTACCAGAGTAGACAAGGAGCTCATTCAGTTACTTCAATACAGGGTTTTGGCTGAATTAACCCATAGAATACAATCCACATAAACGAGAACGCGCCCAAGCACGCATCTGTTGACACGTCCTCGTAAACACTGAAAATATACATCAAATCAGCGTAGCAGAAACAGGGAGTCTGTTTCTTGCACAGACTTACGTGTCAGAGAATCATAAGGTCGCTTTTGGTCCGCGATTTAGCCACTCCGCGAGTCGCCAGGTTACCTCGCGACTAACCGACATGAGGATCACCATGAGGGTAATGCGTGAGTACATGGACGTGTACATATACACACACATTTGCATATACATATACACGTAAATATCACATACATATACATGTTCATATGTGTACGAGTTTTTCTATACCCACGAATTTCATAAAATAATAATGATTCACTACAGTGATCGGAATAACATAAGTGGATTTGCGTTTGAATTACGTGCCATTTGAGCACCTCCCAAAGGTTTACCGCCTTATCGTGGCTGGGAGGTGTTCCCGGATGTCGAACTGCGATGTACAGCGGGAGGATTCGTCTACGCGACAGGGTCTCCTAAGCTTAGAAGGAGTCCGGCGTTTCCATCGGGAAGCCTAGCTAAGACTAAACCAATACAAGGATCCACTATTGCCCTGGCATCAAAGTCGCATGGTGGCAAATCTCTCTCTGATCCACAAGGGCTGCGACTGCCTGTCGTGGTGACGACCTGGGGCAGACTTTGGCTGGGCTGTCCTCAGGATGCCAGGAAACGACAATGGCTTAACCAGGAAATCTCCGAAAAATGGTGATTAGGTTGGGGCCCACACAACTAGTGAAGACGGGCCGTTCAGGTATCAAGTAAGCAAGTATAGAGAGCAACTTTTCATGAATTAAACCTGCTACAATCTATGTTGGGCAAGCTATCGACCGAATGCTAGGGTGCAAAAGTGTGGCAAAAACTCTGTATAGCAAAACGCACCACCGCAAAGAAACGCACTGGGATGCAATTTACTTTGTCCACTTTGTGCAGCTCCATTGATGCATAGTGTAGTGTTTTTGGAGCATCGCTTATTCATATCGGACGAGATCAATAATTCTGACGACGCATGGAATATCGATTCACATAGCTGTTTTTTGGACTTAAGAGTTATTAGGAATTCAGGTAGATGTGTGTTTTTCTAGAATGCCTACAGCACGCCATAATGATGCTCCTCTAGTTACATTGACATCAACATATCTTCGACTAACATACTTTAGAAGAAAAATTTTTCAATGCTGTGACAGCAGATCTGCTTAACATTTGCGTATTATTTGTGGTCGGATGTGGGATTCCTTTGTTTTATTTTCATAGAACACTCCATCACGTTTTTTTTCTTTCTTTGAATGCGCAACAGAAGACATTCTCAATAGCCATTCATGAAAGGAATGAAGAAAGTGATAGATAAGAAGTATGAACATTATCCATTTCGTCGACATTGCTCAGTTAGCGGTCCAGCTGTTGGAAAGATGGATCCGATGAACACCTTGAATTAACATCTGTTAACAGAGCAATTAGTGCAGTTGTCTAGCAACGAACACACCTTATTGTTTTGTCTGAGTTCGTAACTGGTAATATATAGTGGGCATCCATCTATCTCCACCTGAAAAACCAGAGAGTTCTCAACTGGAATCCTCCCGAAGAAGAAATTACACCTGGAGAGATCGTATTCGGTTTGCTAGACTACGCCTGACATGATTGTGCTGTCCAGGAACGTGACATGCAGCATTACTGCTCTGCCACCAGATATCCCACTATTAGTGATGAATTTGTACGGACCTGACACTGTTGGCGTCCTCGTCGTGACAGGAAACACAGCGTATAGAGCGCCAAATCGAACTCAGGAGAGGTACCGATGAGCAAAGAGCCTGATCGTTTCAGATCCCCTTTCCATGTGAATTTTACTGAGGCCATCACTTTCTATAGGAAATAAAAGATGAACGTTTGTCTTATTAAGGAAGTGGTTAGGTAATTTGTGGTCCATCAGCTGTCTCTTACTCCACGCTTTATAATGAATCCCTTATAGTCAAAATTCTCAGTGGCGTTCTTCTCAAGCATGTAGAATCGTATCCAACTGTGCAGTCCAGAGATTTCGTTATTCTTTTCCTAAATAAATTTCGGCTGAAGATTCTTCTCCTGTTTTGACTGATGAAATTTATACTTCTCCCATGAAGACATGCTCAAATCCGGACGTGTCGGGCCGTCCACGTGCTCGAGAATAGTGCATAAACCACAGCTGTTCTACCCAATATCGAAATATAGTTGGAGTATTGGCGAAAGGATGACCTGAATGAAGAAAAATTCTCTTCTTCCACAGTCAAAAAAAAGGGTTAATTATCACAAACTACCAAATGAGACCTTTCTGTTTCAGAAAATCATAGAGCACTTTCCATGGCTTTGACTGGAGAACATTGTTGAGGAAATTAGATGTCTCTCTTTTTTCCTAAAGAACTAGTGAGTCAGAAATTAGGACTCAAAAGCTTATAAATGAGGTGCCGTGCCTCTTCGACAGAAACACGAGGTTCAGCAACACCGGTTTCACGGTTGAAATTGTCGGCTAGTGCGATGAACCGAGTATAGCTTGGTTTCCTCAGCAGCGATGCTTCAACACTGTCGAACAAACTACAAAAACGTGGAATTATATATCCACATGCGACAACAGAAATGTCATTTTTATTGCAAGTCTAGCGACACATTTGAAGCCATACATTTTTTATTCCCTTACTGCTTATACTTAATGAAAAACGACTTGACACGTACTTTTTGGCAGCGTTATCCTGCAAGTCTCTTGTATTAGTATGCCCTTGAAAGTTGACGGACACCTCACCCAGTCGTGCTTTGTTCTCATCTGCTTCCCGTAGTTTTTTCGACATTGAGATCAGCTCATCATTTCTAATGTTGAAAGCTATAAAAATCTTCCTTTTCGAGTTATTAACTGTTTACTCGTGCAGAAAAAAAACAAAGTGGTGAAACCCGCTTTCCGTAACCTCTGCTTCCATAGTTATGAAACCGCTGGGTTCGTGGATGTTGTTAGCGCTGCACAATATTCTGGTTCAAAAGCTTGTCAAATTTTGTATTCAGTTTTAATGAGGAGGGACAAACGTATCCGTATAGTGGTTCGAACTCCAATAGTCTAATAGAGGACGACCGGTCATCTGTTACCAATATATTTCACATTTATTACTAATGTTTCAAGGTCGACCATTGTCCTCTCTAACTTCGCAGCCGTCACTATAGTGATTATTCCCTCTCATCTACAAAGTTCAACTGTTAATCAGAGCACTTTTTTGTAATGAGGCATCATTTCTACACATAGTAATAGGTCCGGTTATCATCTCAGGCTACTAAATCCTACAGTCGTTTCAGGAGGAGAATTGTTCCCTTTATGAATGATTGATAAACTACTAATGTATTATATGCAGTCTTAACTTCTTCAGTTTCTGCAAGGTAGGACTGTACCGCTGTGTGTCCACGATCGATTTGCGCTGTGGAATTTCAATAACATTTTTCCATGAACTGTTAATTCTCTTCTAAATTTTTTCACTGACTTAGTCATCATTTTTGGGTACGTCGAAGACTGTACACGTGAACTACAAAGCGCACAATAAAAAATGTCCCATAGATTGTCGACACCCAACCAGGCTTTTCAGCTTGGACACTAGGCGGCCTTATTTGTTCAAGGAATGTCTTGTCGAGATTGTTGAAGATTCTATTCATGTCATGTCATAATCACTTATATCACCTGTAGTCCCGTTGATCGTCGAGTGACTCGAACGGGCGCCAGTAAATCTCCCATTCTTCCTTGTCGTGTGCAAGAGTAACCCAGTGGGTTCTGTTCGCTCTAGAGACTCGTCGAGCATCATATCTTTCTTCAAGGCTCTTTGTGAAGAACTCTGACCATCGGGTCGATGGTCTTTCCGCAGTACGTTTGACATCGCGAGGAATCCAGTCACTAACAGCTTTTGTCCATCGGTTGTCATTCATACGCATTACGTGTCCGGCCCACTTATCTTCGACTGTTTGGCGTCCAGAACGGCATCTTCGATTTTTGATAGTTGACGCAGATCGGAGCTTCGGATCTCATCCCTTACTTGTGTGGAACGGGATACTCCTAGTATCGTCATTTCGACTGTGCGTTCGATAACGCTGAGTGCCCATTCATACTGCTTACGCAGCGACCAGGTTTCTGACGCGTACGTTAGGGCAAGAAGTACCGTTGAGTCGAAAAGGTGGACGCGGAGTCGGGTGTTCTTTGTTCTCCTCACTGCTTCTTCGATGTTTTTGAAAGCTCCTAAACCTACTCGTTTTCTTCTGCTCAGCTCTGGAGCTAGGTCGTTCAACGTGTTGATTTCACGACCAAAATAGACATAACTGGAGCATTCGCAGATATTCGTTCCTTTGAGCGTGAACGGGGCACGCGAAACCAATCTGCTCCTCATGAACATCGTTTTTGTGAGATTTAGTCGAAGACCAATCTTTCCGCAGGCCTTATCAAAGTCGGCGAGCATGCGTTCCGCTTGGTTAATGTTTGATGTTATAAGGACGGTGTCTCATCAGCAAAGCGAAGATGATGTAATTGCCGACCATCGATTTTCACTCCCATATTATTCCATTCCAATGTTCGCATGACGTTCTCGAAGGTGGCGGTAAATAATTTTGGCGGGATGGTATCGCCTTGCCTAATGTCTCTTCTGACATTGATGTTAATATCATTGTAATTGGTGATATCTTCGGCTTTATGTAGTGAGTAAGGACTCTGTGAATATCAAGATCTTCCATGACTGCTATTATCTCAACTGAGTCAAAGGTCTTCTTTAAATCGATGAAAGTGAGACAGAGGGGTCTTTTGTGCTCTCGCGACCCTTCAATTGTTTTTGTTATCGTGTGGAAATGATCCATCGTACTATATCCTTTTCGAAGCTTGCTTGTTCACATGGTTGCCCTTCGTCCAATGCTTTGTCAATCCTGTTTAGTGCGCTCGTCTGAAAAGTTTGTGGACGAGAGGCAGCAAGCAGATTAGGCGATAGTAGCCGATATCATGGAGGTCACTGTTCGTGAACATTAGCACGGTCTAACTGGTCTTCCATTGAGTAGCGACCTTGCATTCAGACAGGTAACGTGTGAAGAGGCGAGTCGGTGTGTTTACGAGAACTGGCGGAAGGTTCTTCAGGTGTTCTGATCCTATCCTGTCCGGGCCTGGTGCTGTTCGATTTTTCAATGACGAAATGGCATGTCGGATTTCGAAAGGGAAAACCGGTAGTACAACATATCCATCCTCCTTTATTTAATGTGACGGAAGGTGGACGTGGCTATCGAAGAGTTCCGAGTAGTATTCGTGAATGTTTTTTCCATTGCCTTTCTGGTCGCTGTAACTGTTCCGTCTGGGTGTCGGAGTGCAATGATCTCGGCCTTGTAATTGGCGAAGCTTCGGTGTGCTTTGCGTATGCTCTTCCCAGCCTCCGCGACTTCGACCACTGCTGTTACTCTTCTCTCTTTAAGATGTTCTTTTATCGCCTGTCTGCATTGTTTTGCAAGTTCGGACGTTAGTTCGCGGTTGCCTGCAGTTCGTGCGATTCCACTCTGGCGTATCAGCTCGAATATTTCTGGAGACAAACGTCTCTTGGTGACTTTCGAACTCTCAGCTTTCATAGCGCTAACGTGAAGATGTTGAATGAGCCGATTGAATTCTTCGTCGATGTTATCATTAACGGCATATTCTCAGCCGTCGACTAATGAGTTGAATAAGTCCCAGTTCATAGCTATTTTGGAATTTCGTTTTTTCGTTTTTCGTTTCGTTTTTTTGAATTTTGCGGCTTTTTCTCCTTTCTGCGAGAAATGGAATCTTGCACGAAGGAGGCGGTGGTCTGATCCCGTGTAGAATTTTGGGACAACAGCGACATGGGTTAGGCAATACCTTCGGTCTACGACAATGTGGTCCATTTCGTTATGGTACTCTCCGCTGAGACTCCCACGCCCTGCGTTGAAGGTGGGACTTCTGGAATTTCGAGTTACCATGGATGGTCTTGGTCGCCATGATAAACTCAGATATCCGCTCACTATGTGCGTTGAATTCTAATCCATGGGTCGCAATGTGACGTTCTTCAGACGTTCTTCTTGGTCCATTCTTGGTGTTGAAATCTCCAATAATAACCTTGAAGAATGTGTGGTCTTCTCTGTAGAACTTTTCCAAGTCCATGTAGAACGCTTCGACTTCTTCTTCGTCATAGTTTGATGTCGGAGCGTAAACGACGAAGGTTGTCAAAGCCGGTATTGATCCATATCTCTTCAATAGTAAACGTCCAGTTCGGGTTGTCAGTTGTTCGAATCAATCGCTGATCATGGACAAACTCGTGTTGACGAGGGCGCCGACGCTGCCGACTCTACTGTTGCATGTTCCGAGACACAGTTCTTCTCCGGTGTCATAGACGGCGTTGAATGGGTTGGCGTCTCCTTGTCTCGGCCAAGTCGATGACGTCGTGGCTTATCTTTCTCGTTTGTATGATCAAGTCTTCTATCGATGACTCATATGCAAGGGTACGTGCATTGTAGGTACAGATCGTCACCTTAGTTCTTTGAAATCCAGGCAGCTTCCATCGGTCCTGAGATTTTAGCAGCCTCTCTATAGTCGTTCTACCTAACACTGCCGAATTGGAGGCTTTTTCGTGGTCAGGGGAATGAGGCCCGTTTTTTTTTACTATGTTTAGCATTTTGATACCCACGTATAGTTTGCTGGGCTCTGAACGTGGGGCTTGGTATACTCACGGCTAGCTTGCCAGGCTCTCTCAGAGTGAACATGGAGATTATTTGTTGGAGGCGACTCCTAACCGCCTTCCATATACTTCTCTGTTACTTGATTGCAGGCTTTTGGCCGAATTGACTCATGGAATACAATCCGATTAAACTAGAACTCACCCACACCCGCATGTATGAATACGCTGCGTTAATACGGAAAGTATGTGTCAAATCGGAGCAGCAGAAACAGGGAGTCCATCTTCTGGATCCACCTGCGTCTCAAGGAAGCAAAGGTTGTTTTTAGTCCGCGATTAACTCTCTATCTGCCACCTGGGGACGCGCCACGTAGCCTCGCGACTAACCAGCTCGAGATCTTTGTTATGACGTATCTCCATGGCTCAGTATCGCAGTGTTGCATTTCACATCATACTCTACCGGGGGAAAAATATAGTAGGCAGTAAATAAATAGTTAAATGTTGTAATTTAAAGATTGTCCAGACTGTATAATGGCACAGAATTTCATAATGTGACTAGGAATGCAAATCTTGCAAATATAGGCCTAGAAATCGTTGAAGCTGTGCACAATACTGTGAGAGCCGCAACAAAATTTCGTTTGCCTAGTGTTTTCAATTACCAATCAACCTGAAAGAAGGACCTCATATCGGCTAGTGGCGAGGAGACGTGGAGCATCTCTAGGTCGCCGATAAGGGGCTAATCGTCGACCAAAGGGACCTTTGCCTTTCTGAGACCCAGATAGATCCAGGGGATGGACTCGCTGTCCGTTGCGCCGATTTGGGAAAAATGGTGAGTGGCTGTGTGCTGTTGCTCAGGAAAGGTGACCACGATATCGGCAACTATCGCCCAATCTGCTTGCTGTCTGTCGTCTACAAACTTTTCGATCGAGTGATCGTAAACAGGGTTGGGAAAACAATGGAAGAAGGACAGCGGCGTAATCAAGAAGACTTTCGGAAGGATTAATTGTGATGGAACACATCCACGCAATAATAACAGTCATTGAAGCGTTTTTCTATTAAACTTGAAGTTTCCTATTCGCTACGTGGTAGATAGCATAGTATCAACTGCTGTAGGATGGGTTCTCCGTTGCATAGCAAATTATTATCAAGGAACAACCATTATCAATGATAAGAGTCCTGTATAAAACAGCGCTGCTGG